AGCCTCCCGAGTAGCTGGGACTACAGGCGCCCGCCACCTCGCCCTGCTAGTTTTTTGTATTTTTAGTAGAGACGGGGTTTCACCGTGTTAGCCAGACTTTTTTAAATTTTATTTTTATTATACTTTAAGTTCTAGGTTACATGTGCACAACGTGCAGGTTTGTTACGTATGTATACATGTGCCACATTGGTTTGCTGCACCCATTAACTCGTCATTTACATTAGGTATTTCTCCTAATGCTATCCCTCCCCCATCCCCCAACCCCACGACAGGGCCCGGTGTGTGGTGTTCCCCATCCTATGTCCAAGTGTTCTCATTGTTCAATTCCCATCTATGAGTGAGAACATGCAGTGTTTGGTTTTCTGTCCTTGCGACAGTTTGCTCAGAATGATGGTTTTCAGCTTCATCCATGTCCCTACAAAGGTCATGAACTCATCCAAAAAGGTGTATGATTTTTACAGGGCAAGACATCCTTGATAACCTAAATCACTGCCTAACAAAAAAATATACTTTTAATGTAAATATTTACACCTAAAATTTATAACACACTTTGTTGGCTTTGAAAAGATTTTGGAAAAAGTAACAGAATGATACATAGGTTATTAAGCAGAATTTTTTTTTTTTTTTGTATTTTTTGTATTTTTAGTAGAGACGGGGTTTCACCATCTTGGCCAGGCTGGTCTTCAACTCCTGACCTTGTAATCCACCCGCGTCGGGCCTACTAAGCAGAATTTTTAATGACAATTTTATAAGAATGACATAAAAATATCAACCATTAATTTCTCCTATTGACTGCTACAAGACAATGAGAATACTGGGTAGTTCTCACCCAGGATGAGAAATTTTTTTATGTTATAGACACTGCAAATTCGCTACTACTCAACACTTTTGTTGAAAACAAACTGGAACCAAAAACTAAGCTTTCTATCAGTTACTTAATCCACTAGTCGTTGAAACATTGGTCCTGGATTAATTATTTCCTCAAAGTTTGTGACAATATGGGGGAAAGAACACTCGTATACTACAGGTGGCAATGTATGCTGAATATATTTTAAGAGTAAAGTCTGGCATCTATCAAAATTTTAAACTTGCATAACCTTTGATCCAGCAATTTTCCCCCAAAATATACACCCAGTGGGCAAGAATATATGTACATAAAGCTGTTCATTGCAACATTACTGAAAAACTAAAGTCCCACTACGTGTTCATTTATAAGGGAATGGCTAAAGCATGGCACATTCATATTTTGGAATATGATGGGCACAGTCCTTAAAAAAAAAAGGAAACAAATGTACTGACGTGGAAGGGTTTCTATGATAGACTGCTGAAAAGAAAAAAGAAGGTTGCAGATCTTTTAGTTTATCTAGATTTATCCTTTTTATTAAAAAAAATCAAACCGTACAGATGGGTGTCATATAAGTATAGGCTGGTTGAACAGAATACGGATTGTAGGATTAAAAGAAAAAAAAAGATTATGTTGGAAAGATTAGGTACCAAACTCTTACCACTTTATACTCGGGAAGTGGTACTGCGAGGTGAAGGAATTTTCATTTTTTTT